AAAAAAAAAAAAAAAAAAAAAAAAAAAAAAAAAAAAAAAAAAAAAAAAAAAAAAACAAGCCAAGAAACAGGTGAAACATGATTGCTTTTGCAGCTGATAAGCAAAAGAGATAATAATCATATAAGACAACACATGTATACCTAAAGCAATAACAATATATTGGAGGCTCAAACATACTAGCACCAACTGCCCACTAAACCCTAACTCAAAATTACATGTCAGCCAAAGATGAAACTAAATATTGAATAAAAAGTTTCTTTCAAAATGCAGCACGATGTTGAAACAAAACTAAATTTGCACATCAAGATTAGCTATCTACTCATGCCTTCATGCAGCAACTAGATCATAAAATGTTCGACCACCCTACCCTGCAGCTCATTGAGATTTGAAATTTCAATGCCACAACCAAATATAGAAAAATTTTCCCAAAAGATAACAAAACCTATCACGGAGACAAAATCATTATGAAAAAAAGGCATAAAGTAATCTAGCAAAAAGACATGCAATGCATATAGGTCAAGTAAATTGAGTTAGAACAGCACAAAAACTTTCAGATTATTCCTGACAAATTGAGAAGACAAGAAACAAACATACCCATGAGAATTGAGCATTTCGAAACTTATTGTCAACTCCAGCCAAATGTGAATCCAGAGGGGTCAGCTTCAACAATCTTGGAGCTGAAATCCTGTTCCCCATTCGACCAGAAAATCCAGTCTTTGTTTTCCCATCCTTATCGGTAAAGATAGCACAAATAAGAATTAGATAGGAATCTGTTGTTCCCAAAATCCACTTCCCGTCGTAGGTAACATCTACATGTGTAATAGGTGAACCAAGTCCTGGAAAAGCTGTTTTTGCTTGTCTCATAGAATTGACAGAATACAGCCTGATTTTTCCATCAAGCGACCCAACAACAATTGAGCCATCACCAGTGGTTGCAAAGCATTGGAAGTTGGTTCCTCTAGAAAACTGATGCCCTTGAGCCCAATTTAAGACAGGAGTGCTAGAAGTAGCAAGATTTTGGACCATTCCGTTCCTATCGCGCATATCCCATCTGCAAAGCCTATTGTCATCCAAACCCAAAAATGTCGAGCCCGAAGGATCCAACTGAGCTCCCTTAGAATCATTAGTAATATCCCTCATTGAAATATCAACTCCATCCTTCCCGAACTTCCACTCAGTAACAATTTTCCCTGTTTCAATGTCAAGCTGATGAAGTCCAGAAGTGTGAGGCCTCCCCTCGTTTATGGGACTCATCAAAAGCATATTGGTCTCAGCTTTCATAAGAAGTGCCTTCTTCGGCGTTGAGTAGGCCAAACTAGAACCAGCACCACGAGTATCCCGATTGCCATTATCAATATTCACATAAATACCCTTTCCCTGAATTCCGTGAGAAAAGTTCTTGACGACCTGAATTCCTGAATCGCCAACCAAGAAACTGTTCTCTAATGCACCTAAAGCTAAACTCTTAATCCCATCGTCTGCAGCTTCCTCAAACTCCTCCATTAAATCGTTTTCCCTGACAGGCGTTGCCGAATTTGGACTCTTCGAGAAACTCTCCTCCGCATCTTCCCACATTGAATCATCCGCCACTTCCGGATTCGCCCAACCAATAAAATCCTTGCCATAAACCTTCAATTTATTCGCCTCCGTAGCCTCAAATCCATATGTATTCTCAAATAAACAGGCCTGAAATTTTTCCACAAAAATCTTATAATCTTCATCGCTGAAAAATTTTAATGCCCAGACACCCTGCGCAACAAAGTCCACACGCCGCTGGTCTCCGAACGTTTTCAATTGCGTATCTGACGATACTCTCACTCTAATTTTCGATCCAACCTTCAAAAACCACCAAGAGTCGTCATCCTCCTCCTCCTCTTCCTCGCCATCATCCTCCTCCTCTTCGTCATCATTGCCACTACAAGACTTGAGAAAAGAGTAAGTAGTAAGATTTTCAGAGGTAATCCATTTCGCCTTAGGAGTATTGCCATTAACGTGAAGGTAAAGCTTCACTGCGTTCTTTATGTTTGGCTTCTGAGACGTTCCGTACTTAAGCTTGAGAGCCCTGAGCTTCGCCTCCACCTCGTCCACTGACGATGGCGTTTTCTGCCGTCGTTCAGAAGATCTTTGGAGCTCTTCTTCAACATCCTCATATTTCACCTCCTTTTTATTGGTTTCCTCGTTCCCATCTTCACGATCGGAGTCCGACAGTTCCAGACCCTCGCGACTTTGAGAGGCTCCCATTATCAACGCCTTCGAGTTGTATCGACGGGAAACTCAAGCTCTGTGGAATGCAGATCGAATCAAATGTAAGGAAATTCAGAATCCAGAGGACAGATGGAGACGTAGAAATGAAGAGGCGCCAATTTCGAAATTTGAAATTCTTGGAGCTCTTCGTTCTGTCGTGACCTTTTTTAGGGTTCTTCTCTCAGAAAGGTTACCGCCAATAACCCGTTGCCTTTCCCTTGCAACTAATTGAACTCTTATGTTAAGATCAGGCCTAATCCAACATCTGTGGGCTTTATAACTTATTGGGCTTTACTTTGGGCTCAGATTTGCAACAGATTGAACTCTTGTGTTAAGATAAGGCCTAATCCAACTTCTGTGGGCTTTATAACTTATTGGGCTTTACTTTGGGCTCAGATTTGCAACAGATTGAACTCTTGTGTTAAGATCAGGCCTAATCCAACATCTGTGGGCTTTATAACTTATTGGGCTTTACTTTGGGCTCAGATTTGCAACAGATTGAACTCGTGTTAAGATCAGGCCTAATCCAACTTCTGTGGGCTTTATAACTTATTGGGCTTTACTTTGGGCTCAGATTTGCAACAGATTGAACTCGTGTTAAGATCAGGCCTAATCCAACTTCTGTGGGCTTTATAACTTATTGGGCTTTATTTGGGCTCAGATTTGCAACAGATTGAACTCTTGTGTTAAGATCAGGCCTAATCCAACATCTGTGGGCTTTATAACTTATTGGGCTTTACTTTGGGCTCAGATTTGCAACAGATTGAACTCTTGTGTTAAGATCAGGCCTAATCCAACATCTGTGGGCTTTATAACTTATTGGGCTTTACTTTGGGCTCAGATTTGCAACAGATTGAACTCTTGTGTTAAGATCAGGCCTAATCCAACTTCTGTGGGCTTTATAACTAATTGGGCTTTACTTTGGGCTCAGATTTGCAACAGATTGAACTCTTGTGTTAAGATCAGGCCTAATCCAACATCTGTGGGCTTTATAACTTATTGGGCTTTACTTTGGGCTCAGATTTGCAACAGATTGAACTCTTGTGTTAAGATCAGGCCTAATCCAACATCTGTGGGCTTTATAACTTATTGGGCTTTACTTTGGGCTCAGATTTGCAACAGATTGAACTCTTGTGTTAAGATCAGGCCTTCAAACTTCTGTGGGCTTTAACTTATTAGGCTTTACTTTGGGCTCAGATTTCGGCCCATATTCCATTCACGACTTGAGCTTTCGGGATTCATCCACATCTTGTTAACGGATGCAATTTTAAAAGCGACAATTAAAATTCTAAATTGATTTAATTATTTGTTTATAATTTAGTATAAATTTATTTTGGTCCTTTATTTTATAAAATTAATGATCTCTTTTTCTCTACATATTTATGGAACTTATTAATGAACTAATCAATTTATCCACGTTGATTCATGCTAGTTTATTACAACACAATAACTAATATAATTAATACATTCTTGACAATAAAATTTAATTACATTTAATATATTATTTTGAAATGGATTATGGTGTACTTATACAAATTATAAATTTAGGTCAAACACATCAATAAAAATTAATTTAATTTAGTAACAGAAAACAAACAGAAAACAAATTAAAATGAAAAGTGTAAATCCTCTTTTGCAACAAGTTGATAATAAGTTGTTTCCCATTCTCATTCCTAATTCTCATTAACATGAACCATGAACCAAGAGCTCATCAATCCCAAGGAAATTATGCACCATGAGCCCATCAATCCCGGCAAAATCAAGATCCAATAAAAATGAAACATTCTTTATAAAAGTGTAAAAGCTTTTCCACGTGCCCGGCAAAATCAAGATCCAATAAAAATGAAACATTCTTTATAAAAGTGTAAAAGCTTTTCCACGTGAGATGTGTTTTAAAAACCTTAAAGGAAAGTCCAAAAGGGAAAGTTAAAAAAAAAAAAAAAACAATATTTGCTAGGGGTAGAATTGAGTTGTTACAAAGGCACCGAGTGGTGTGAAAAAAAAAAAAAAACAATATTTGCTAGGGGTAGAATTGAGTTGTTACAAAGGCACCGAGTGGTGTGCCAACAAGGACAATGGACCCAAAGAAGAGTGGATTATGAAATCTTACATCGGTTGGAGATTCTGTTGGAGATGGGAACAAAGCATTAAGGATATTGAAATCTCTCTAACAGACATTTTAAAATCGGAGGGAAACCTAAAACAAAAAACTCAAAGATAGACAATATCTACTAACTAGCTTGGACTGTTAGATAATATCTACTAACTAGCTAAAACCCAAAGATAGACAATATCTACTAACTAGCTTGGACTGTTAGACAATATCTACTATCTCTAACAGACATTTTAAAATCGGAGGGAACTATCTACTATCTCTAACAGACATTTTAAAATCGGAGGGAAACTATCTACTATCTCTAACAGACATTTTAAAATCGGAGGGAAACCTAAAACAAAAAACCCAAAGATAGACAATATCTACTAACTAGCTTGGACCGTTAGACAATATCTACTAACTAGCTAAAACCCAAAGATAGACAATATCTACTAACTAGCTAAAACCCAAAGATAGACAATATCTACTAACTAGCTTGGACTGTTAGACAATATCTACTAACTAGCTTGGACTGTTAGACAATATCTATTAACTAGCTTGGACTGTTAGACAATATCTACTAACTAGCTTGGACTGTTAGACAATATCTACTAACTAGCTTGGACTGTTACAAGATCCCTCTACAAGGGTGCTTCGAACTGTTAAATGGACCTTAAAGAGAGTGTTTACAGCTGATTGAGGGAGGCACAACGGAAGCCAACAATCAATGCAATTTGATAATATAGTAGACTTATGTATAACTTTAGCAAGTGTGAAATTTATGCAGCTTGGAATTGATCGAGGTCTAGATTTATACCATATGTATTTGGATTGTGTAGAGATACAGAAATGGTTCATGAGAGGTTATCACCTTAATCTGATCCCACTAAAGCCAAAGCCTGCACTTTACATGTTAAGAAAGCTTGCAGCCACAAAAGATGGACCAAAAACAAACGAATTTGCAGGAGAATATGACATAAAGCATGAATGGTAAAAGCACAAAATCCTGACATTGACATAAAAAAGAGCTGATAGTTCTAAGCATAGCAACTCGGACAGAACAAATGCAACATACGTATATATAAACCTATTTGGAAAAAGAAGACGAGAATAACAGAATTTAAAGAGCAATTCTATGAGTTGAGTTGTACCTGTACGTCAGGCCTTTCCAAAAGTTGGCGCCATATTGCACAAGAGAAGATAATTTGAACATTAAATATGGCAGTGTAGTTCCCAACTTGTTATGATATTCTACAACAGAATTGGACTAATACTTTGACACTGAATTTATTGATTTAGAACTTTCTTCCTTTTTCTATTTCCTTTCTTGTCTAAATTTCCCGTAAATCTCACAACCCGGACATCGTGGAGCTGCTTCATGAACAGCAGTTTCCCCCTTGAATCTGATCATAACTTTGCAGGCTTGGGGAAAATGTCGGGAGTGAATTTCTGTGCTGCGCTAATACTCCCCTTGATCTTCAGTGCGCCCCTGTAGAGTTTACAGTGTTTTCGCCAAATAATAGTGAGTTTCGGATGACTTTTTTCGAATAAAAGTGTACAATAAGCACTTCTGAAGGAAATACCTCGAGTATGTCTGCAATTTTCAATAGCTCTTATAGAGTACGTTTAATATGAGTTTTAAGATGGTGAAAATCGTTTTTAGCCCATTAAAAGCACTTCAAGTTTATCCTAGTGCTTGGCTGCATAGTCAAAAGTGAATTTCAAAGTTCTAAGAACACCAAAAGAAACTATGAAGTACTTTTGGAGGAAGCACCTAATCAGCATTTCTACCAAAAGGTGTCTCACTTAACGTACAACACTCAAAAGTCTTATTCGTGAACTAAACATCATAATAAATTTGAAAAGCATTTCTAACCGATTACAAACATCTTTTACTTCAAAGTCATGGAAAATCCACTCTAAATACGTAAGCACTTGGGAGAGAAGGAAAAAGCAGACCCCTAAAGATGATATAATCAATGAATTATAAGTACCTGAGGAAAGCCATCTGAGGATTCATCTTCCCCAAAGCAATTTTAATGAAATCTTCATCCTTGAAGGATAGGGTGGCGTCAGGCTTTCCTCCTTCGTATGGACCTGAGCTCAAAACAATCATAATTCTTTTCTCAATTTTCCAGCCGAAGCATATAAGTACGCAATGCCAGCTCTAAAAGGTTATAGCTACTTGGTACCAAGAAGATGAGAAATGCATTTGACAATCGATGGCTGTGATGCGAAAATGTACTTCTAAGAATTTTGTGATGCCTCGTCGTGATATTGATATTCATAATCAAATACCAATTCGAACACAAGGCATTAAGCTTAGGGTATAAATCGACCTTTCACCATAACCTAAAACCAGTGGAAATGGATTTTAAACTTCATTCATCCTTCGATTGCTCAAAAAAAAAAAATAATAATAATAATTGAAAGGAGACAAGAGCAGGGGTTTAGACATCACTCGATCGTATCAACCAGAAAAGGCACCGAATCGAAGAAAGTAAAAGCCCTAACCTTTGGTAACCTCCCCTTTCTTGAGATCAATGGTATAAACAACCTCATCAGTTCCAATTTTCTGCCAATAATTCAATTCAGATTCAAGGGCTTCAATACTCCGGAGAAAAATTAGAAAATCACAGAAGAGAAAGGAAGATGACCTTGGGGGAAATATTGATCTGGTAAACATGGCCGATGTTCTTGACGACCTGTTTCCCGGCATCGGTGGTGAGATACTGCTTCAACTGCTCCAAAAGAGCGTCAGATTTGAGGGGAGAATCGGTGGAATTCGCCATTGGCAAGGAAGTGGCGCAGAAAAGATGCGGAGAGAGGTGGAAGAAAATGGAGCGCAGACGAAGCTCTGACGGTTGAGGTAATGGGTAATGCGATGGGATTTTAACATAGTGAGAGAGAGAGAATTGAATAATGAATTGATGGGCTGACTTGCTGCCCAACTAACAATCCTCAAGACAGACTCTATGAGCACGCATCCCAACGCCCATAACTTCTCGTTTGTTCCTTTTCTTTTTATTTTATATATTCCCAAAAAAAAAAAAAAAAAAAAAA